TTTAAAATAAAAACAAGACTTTTATTACTAGATACTAATGCAACTAAAACGTATTCATGTAATCAAATAAAAATAATTATATTTTTGAAAATCAATAATTGATTAAACAATTACTCCATATAACGTGTGGGTATATTAATATATAATAACAATATATTAATATTTATTAAATCACTCTAGGATATAGTAATGTAGGGCTGGACTAGAAGCAAGCAGGGTTAGATGATAATATCTCTAGCTGCTATTATTATTATTCTAAAAAAATTAATATAAATCACGCAAACTATATTCCGTCAATCCAATATATATATCAATTTTTTTATATCACGTGTTTTTCCACACAATGCTTGGAAAATAGTTAAGTAATAACTAAATAGATATCCGTGTTATACTATGAATCGAGTACAATAAGTAAAATTATTATGACTTGATGGTTTTTGTCATGCTATAGATCCATAAAAACAAAAAAATATTCACATAACTTTATAATTTTTTAAATGAAAATTTTGTATTCAATTAATTTTTTCTTATGTTTTTAAAAGATTTCCTTCTTAAAATAATCAATTTGCCTTTTTGTCATGCATGGATTTTTAAATAAAAATTTATAATAATCTAAAATGCAAATTTCAATTCATCAAAATCCTAAAAAAATATACATAAATTTAATTATTGATTTTCTTAGATTGTATCAAGCAAATAAAGCGACGATTAATTTAAAAAAAATACATAAAAATTTTAAGATTTAAAATAATTTTTTATGATATTGATGAGAAGATTATATATATATATATATTCTAAAAATAATAAATAATATAAACATAAAAAAACTATATTTAAAAAATATGATACGGTCAAGTGTTGTTTTTAAAAAATAATATTTATTATTTTATTTGAGGAGAATTGATTTCAAAATATTTATTTAAAAAAAGTAAATAGTAATTTTTTTTTTGTATATGTACAGTCAATTTGTAATTAAAAAAACGTATAAACTTAATTTTGATAATTAGTTATTTATAAATAATATAATAGCAGTTGTATTATACTTTTGTTGCTTAAATATTTGATCAAGCGAATTGCATACAACGTAAATAAAAGAAAGCACACAAAATTAATACAATCATATATATAGATTTGAGCTGCTATTTAGTGCAGAAAAAAATCTTTTAAAAAACAAATCTAGCCATCAAATAAATACTTTTTCACAAGGAAAGCATAAAAGTTTCTCCGGTTTATAACTTTGGGCACCAAAATGCAACTACTATATTATATTCATAAAATCATTTTGCGTAGATCTTTAATAAGCCAATAATTGCACTAACCGTTTAACTTTTATCAATAATCACTTTTGAAATTGATTATTATTTATAGGTATGACATACTCTTGTTATCCTCGAGGCCATGTATAGGGTAATTCTAGTTTTTTATACACAATATATTTTTTAATGCATTCTTTTTATACAAGCAACTAATATGATATTTATGATAAGAAAATCAACTGCAGACCATGATGAAAAAAATCCTTAAATTGCTAAATAAATAATAAATTAGTCCATCTCGTTTTAAGAAATGAATTAATTAGTCATTTTGGTTTCAAAAATTAATTTTTTAATTTTTTAAAATAGTGCTAACCATGATTAATTTTTTTTTTTTTATCAAACATCTTCTTTTCGTATTTTTATTTCTTAAAATAAAAAAATCAAAATAAATAGAAAAAAAAATTGTTTTTGAACCAAACGGACCAATTAATTCGTTTCTCGAAGAGAGAGGACCAATATATAATTTACTCTTAAACATCAATTGCTCCTCTACAAAAATAAGGAGGAAAAAAAAAACAATCAAAGATAGTAGCATTAAATGCTCCATCTGAAAGAAAAAAATGAGAGAAAAAGGCTTAAGAAGAAAATTAAAACGAGAATCAGTCAAAGGCAAATATAAAATTTCTCAAATCCATTGAGTGACAAGACAAAAATTATTGAAAAGATAAGAGCCGAAAACCAACCAACCACCCATCCTGCAAGAAGAAAAAATAAATTAAAAGGTAATAACATGACACTTCCTACAATCATGAGAAGAACACACCAGCAATGTATGACCTAGATTGAAGAAGTTTCGAATAGTGTAGTTATGTCACAATGAATAGTTATCTTGGATCTATAATAACAGTAAATAAATAGTGTTCAAACAGTGAAAACCATAGTTCTTTTAGTTTTTAATTCTTTTTTTAATAATGAGCATGTAATATAGTTATAAACGAGATTTCGTTATCTGTCTTCAAATGTTTCACACGTCATTTTGTAATTGTAAAAAACTGTTGATTCTGAATAGAAGCCAAGCATGCAGTAAGTTTTGTTTGGACCATTTTGCTTCAAACTATGAATCCCTCATGAACCTTAGAACAATGATTTAATGGTATAATTTCTTGATAAAACGAGGAATATTGTAAAGTATAGCTAAAGGGAACCGAATCCTCTTCCATGGGGTAAGGAAAATTGGGAAGGAAACAAAGAGATAAATACAAGCGGGAAGTAGAGAGAAGAAGTAAAGAGCGTGTCTAGTTGATCTGGTCCATGTTAGGAGGAGGCAAGATAAAGCCAAGTGGTCTAAGTCAGTTGTGATATCGGGCTCAACATACGTAAGGATAAAATTAGACTCAGGTCCATATTCAAAACAGCTACATTAGTGAGCCCAACTCAAGTTAAAAGCCCAACGTTGTATTAGTCATGTGTGGCAATGGATCCTCTGTTGACTTCTGTGCCTACAAGCTAAGGTTTTAGTTTTTACTAACCGATTGCCCACGTTACATAGCGGATCCAATAAAATAAAATTATTTTAAAATTATAAAATTTTTTAATTATAAAATTTTATTTAATTAATTTTTTTTGATTTTTTTAAAATAAAATTTCTAATTAAAAAACAAACATAAATCACTATTCTTTATGGATTGATTTTAAAATTAAAAATTCTAATAATTTTAATTAAAAATATTAATCAAGAATTGAAAAAAAAACCTTAAAAATATAATTTTTACAATATTTTATTTCAAAAAATAAAATTATAATTAATAGACAGACTTTTACAAAAATTAATAAATGAAAAAAAATCTTATTTAATATTGATGAGAAGATTAATTTTTGAAATTATCTATGCAACGCTACGGGTAAATAGAAAAACATTATTTCAAAGTGTAATAATTTTTTCATTAATTTTTTATTTAATTATTACTATTTTTTGGGTGTTTTTCATAAAATTTTTGCTTGAAAAAACATAATTTATTCTTCTTTATTCAAGAATTCTCAAATAAAAACTTGTAATAATTTAAATCTAAAATATGAATTAAGAATTCAAACGTAAATACTTTAAAATTATATATATTTATAAGAATGTATAAAAAAAAATAAAGTTACAATTAATGTATACGACTTGAATAAAAATTAACCAATGAAAAAAATAAAATTTTATTCTTATTTAATGTTGGTGAGAAAATTTTTTTCTTCAAGTATATGCATTTGATCTATATATATTTATTTACGAAATAATCAATAAAATTAGTGTAAAAACAATATTTGAATAATTAGTTGGTTGCTTTAAAAAATTACTTTAATTATTTTATTTCAAATAAATTAGTCCTATAATGTTAAAAAAAATATTTATAGTAAATAATTTGTATTATGTAAGAAGATGTATAGTTAATTTTTAATAAAATCAACGATTCAATAATTTTTTTAGACGTTTTGACCATACTTAGTGAATTGAGATAAATTATTTGAAATATATCTTTAACCTTTTAGAATAAAATAATTATATATTTATATATATACAACTATGATTTAAAAATTCTAAGAATTAATAATATATATTATACCATTTTTTTTAAAAAACAATCATGTTTTAAAATTTTATTTTAAAATTCAAACATAGAAAAAAAATAAATTATATAATATCAGTAAATAAAATTTCATATAAAAAATATTAATTGGATGAGAATTTTCATAAAAAGTTAATAAATTCAAGAATGAAATTTAAATAATAAGAGTAATATAAGCTGAAATATATGTTAATTTTAAAATATAAAAAGATATATTATATAATCATCAATTTGTGTAAAAAAATTATAATTGATTTTTAAAAATTTTAACACTCAATTAAATAAATAAAACATAAATTTATTGAAAAACAGCAAAGGAAAAATTGATTTTTTAAAATTTTAACACCTAATTAAATAAAAAAAGATATAAATTGATGGAAAAAGACAAAGAAAAAAACCAAAGAAAAAGAAGAAGAAGAGACATGTGTAGTGAATGAGTTAGAGGGTTAAAATTTTTATTTTAAAATTTTAGGAATCAAAATGAAAAACTTGAAAATTATTTAAAAAAAAAACTAATGAAATGTTATTTCACTGTTCAAATGAACAGTGATTTCACTATTAAAAAATCCTCAGATGTTTTAGTTGCCTAGTAAATAAAAAACTCCCATCCGAAAGCCTACATCACGAAAAAAAAAAAGGGAAATTAATATGGGCCGGAAAGCCCGTCTGAGTTATTCTTGGGCTGGTAGCAATTGGAGGCTGCCTTCTTCGTGTTTGGCGCTCATTGCAATAATAATAAAAATTGGAAATCTGGCCCAAAAGAATAAAAAGAAAGAAAAGTTGACAGGCCCAATAAAGGAAACTGCCTTCAATCGAATCTAATCCAAAACGTTGAATTTGTCAGTGGAGGAAGAATGGGATGCTTATGCCTTTGCATTTGCTAGGGTTTAATAAAAGCAGTTAGGAGGAAGTGAAGAAGGAAGACGACGAAGAAGGTTCAGGCAGACGCAGAAGGCATCAATCCGATTTTCTGTCTTCTTATTCGACGGCTTACGCATCAACAAAAACATCATCATTTTATTCTTCTTCTTCAATCATCAGCAATCATTAGCAGCAGTATTAACATGGTACTAATCTAATCTAATTAATTGAAATCAATGGCCATGTTGTTGTTTTTGTTCTTGATTGGAAATGGATGAATGAATGGCGTAAACAGGCTGAGACAGAGAGTGCAGCTGAGAAGATGATGACTCAGGAGGAATTAGAGCGTAAAAAGAAGAAGGAAGAAAAAGCTAAGGAGAAGGAGCTTAAGAAACTTAAAGCTGCTGAGAAAGCTGCCAAATTCAAACAGCAACAAAATGATTCTTCTACTTCTAAAAAGAAGAAGAATGCCAGGAGAGATGCCTCCGCCGCCGATGACAATCCTCTGGATTATGAAGATCCACCCACTCCTTTTGGTCAAAAGAAGATACTTTCATCTCTAATGGCTAAACAGTACAATCCGACTGCTGTTGAGAAATCGTAATCTCTCTTGCCTCTCTCTCTCTCTCTGCTTTTTTATTTTTTATTTTTTACTTTTTTAATTTCATTTTTGTGCTCCTGTTTTATAGATGGTATGACTGGTGGGACAAGTCTGAATACTTTGTAGCTGATGCTAAGAGCTCCAAACCCCCTTTCGTTATTGTAAGCCTTCTTGTTTCAATTTTCCTTACAATCTTATTGCTCTTGCTTTCTTATCATTGTGGAGTAGTATAAAATTTGATTCTTTTGTACTTTGCTCGGCAGGTGCTTCCCCCTCCAAATGTCACTGGGGCTCTTCATATCGGCCATGCCCTTACTGCTGCCATAGAGGTCTACTAACGCCTTGTTTCCTGCTTTGTTTCCAATTTTTACGGCATTTCTTGCTAACAACTCTGCATCTTGTTGCAAACAGGATACGATCATTCGTTTCAAGAGAATGTCAGGGTTTAATGCCTTGTGGGTGCCTGGTGTGGACCATGCTGGGATAGCCACGCAGGTTACTCTCTCTCTTTCTTTTCTTTGTTTGTTTATTTTATGATGTGTTCTGACTGTGATTGCTTGTATGATCTACACAGATATGACCTTCCTTGTATGGATGAATGTTAACCTTTCAAATTATATGAGCTGAGAAGAATGTTTGTATGTATGGTAATCTGCAGGTGGTTGTAGAGAAGAAGCTAATGCGTGATCGCCACTTAACCAGACACGACCTAGGACGTGAGCAATTTGTATCCGAAGTGAGTTTGACTTGCTCCCATTCATGATTTCCTTGTCCTTTATTCAAGGTTTCCATGCCCATTTAATGTCTTTTGACATTCTGATATGAAGGTTTGGAAGTGGAAAGAAGAATATGGTGGTACCATATTAAAGCAGTTACGCCGGTTGGGTGCATCTCTCGATTGGTCACGTGAGGTAAAAGAGTATTATTTTGCTTATTTCCTGTCAATCTGTGAAATTAACGTTACTTTGCTAAATCAATTTGTACTCTGGATAAAGGTTTAACCAGAATTTCTTTTCCAATGTTAACTTTCCTCCATCCCTCTCCCTTTTCAGTGTTTTACAATGGATGATAAAAGATCAAAGGCTGTGACAGAGGAATTTATTCGGTTATACAAGGAAGGTCTTATCTATAGGTATTATTGCCAGGGGAAAATTTTAATTGTGAATAAAACAATTTGGTGCCAGCAAATGGAACCACCAGGCTGCTATCATAAATGCAAAATTTGACTGGAATCATAACTTAGCTATTTATATTGTTATCTTCAGCTAAATAAGGGTTCATTATCCAGCTGTATACTACATTGAAACAAATTCATGCGATTTAATTTTTCTTCTGCTCAAAGGAAACACCCTTTGAGGTGTTCTCTAATAATATCTTTTGCAGGGATATTCGGCTAGTAAATTGGGACTGCACCTTACGTACGGCTATATCTGATGTCGAGGTAAGCTATTTCTGTTTCTTGAAGTTTGGTGATATTTTTTTGTATGATTTTCTACTTGTCTAGAAATTGCTTTTCTGTTGTAGGTAGATTATGTGGATATCAAAGAAAGGAAGTTGCTAACTGTTCCTGGATGCAAGGAGCCAGTGGAATTTGGTGTTTTAACCTCATTTGCTTATCCTCTTGAGGGAGATCTGGGTGAAATAGTGGTTGCCACAACTCGGGTGGAAACCATGTTGGGTGATACGGCTGTTGCCATACATCCTGATGACCCAAGGTACAGTCATCTGCATGGAAAATTCGCGATTCACCCGTTTAATGGAAGAAAACTTCCAATAATTTGTGATGCTATTCTTGTTGATCCTAATTTTGGGACTGGTGCTGTTAAGGTAAGACTGCATCCTGGAACTTATAATGTCAAATTTGATTTTTTAAATCTCTTTGTGGTATAATATTTTATGATGGTTTGCAGATCACTCCTGCACACGATCCAAATGATTTTGATGTTGGGAAGAGACACAATCTGGAATTTATTAATATCTTCACTGATGATGGGAAGATTAATAGTCTTGGCTCTGAGTTTGCAGGGATGCCACGGTTTGAGGCCCGCGAGGCAGTGAAGGAAGCATTACAGAAAAAAGTATGATTGCTGCATCATATAACTGTTTTTGTTCACTCGGACAGTTTTAAAATTTAATTGATGCCATTTAGAAGGACTTTGTCAAATAAATAATCTCTCTCTCTGTTTCCCTTAAAAACAATGGTGCATATATAGATCAGTCAATCTGTTTATTTTGCTCTGCATCCTTTCAGATACAGCTCAAGGGAAATACATATCGTGTTCTTTTTCCTATTAAACATGCACCTATCATTTCCCTGTCGTTATGTTAATTCCTTGTTTTGCCTATTATGGCAGTAAGGGTTGATTCAGTAACCATATTTCTTAATTGTAGGGATTGTATAGAGGAGCTAAAAACAATGAGATGCGACTTGGTGTCTGTTCAAGAAGCAATGATGTTGTAGAGCCAATGATTAAACCCCAATGGTTTGTCAATTGCTACAGTATGGCAAAGCAGGCTCTTGAAGTGGCAACGGATGGAGAAATTCCAAGGCTTGAATTTATTCCAAAACAATATTTGGCTGAATGGAAAAGGTTCTCTCATGTTTCTTATTTGCTCTTTACATGCTTTTTAAGAACACAATATGCATCTCAGGAAATAAAAATAAGGGGGAAAAAAGCTGGACATGAGCATAGGATCATCAAGCTTTGCTTTTGCTATCATGCTTTATTGGTGTTTGTTCAAGATTAGTCCTCTCTATTCCTTGTACATATGTTATCTTCCAACTTCCATTGTGATTGCATTAGTGTTTTGATGCCTCTTGCTGCTGATAAATTAAAATCTTCTTGCTAATCTTTTTGTACTGTATTTTGCATTTTAACTTCATTGCTCATTCCATTGCCTTGTTATGTTTATATATCTATATGGCCGTGACAGATGGCTTGAGAATATACGTGACTGGTGTATCTCAAGGCAACTTTGGTGGGGCCACCGGATTCCTGCTTGGTATGTTACACTTGAAGATGATGAAATAAAGGAAATTGGTGCCTACCATGACCACTGGGTTGTGGCTAAAAACGAGGAGGAGGCTCTAGCAGATGCTAATCAGAAATTTTCTGGGAAGAAATTTCAGATTATCCAGGATCCAGATGTACTGGACACTTGGTTCTCCTCTGGTTTATTTCCATTATCGGTGTTGGGGTGGCCAGATGATACTGATGATTTAAAAGCGTTTTATCCAACTTCAATTCTTGAAACTGGGCATGATATTTTATTCTTTTGGGTTGCTCGGATGGTGATGTTAGGCATTAAACTGGGAGGTGATGTACCGTTTAGGAAGGTCAGCAAATTGTAATCTAAAATTTCATTTCAGGGTTTGTGATGGTTGTTATTCTGCTGGCAAATCCATTTACTTCTGAGGCATATATTGATTATTTGTTTTCCATCAGGTTTACCTGCATCCTATGATTCGGGATGCACATGGCCGTAAGATGTCAAAGTCTTTGGGAAATGTTGTTGACCCACTTGAGGTAATAAATGGGATAAGCCTCGAAGGCCTGCACAAGAGGCTTGAGGAAGGTAACTTGGATCCAAAAGAGCTGGTTGTGGCAAAAGCAGGGCAGAAGCAAGACTTCCCTAATGGTATAGCTGAATGTGGTGCAGATGCTCTTCGATTTGCTCTCGTCTCCTATACAGCTCAGGTTCGTGCTTCTGCCTATTGATACGCTTGTTATTTTGCTCGTATTACTTGAATAGTTGTTTTTGCCCCTTTAATTTCTTTGCTGATGTGGTTTCATCATTTTCTATTTCCAGTCCGACAGAATAAATTTGGACATTCAACGAGTTGTTGGATATCGTCAGTGGTGTAACAAATTGTGGAATGCTGTTCGATTTGCCATGAGTAAACTCGACACTGATTACACCCCTCCACAGACATTACTTCTGGAAGCCATGCCTTTAAGCTGCAAGTGGATACTCTCTGTACTTAACAAGGCTATAACCAAAACTGTTTCAGCTATGAACTCTTATGAATTCTCAGATGCTGCCAGTGCTGTGTATTCATGGTGGCAATATCAGTTTTGTGATGTTTTTATTGAAGCAATCAAACCTTACTTTTCTGGTGATGGGTCATCATTTGCCTCTGAGAGGAGTTTTGCACAAGATACTCTGTGGGTATGCCTGGACAATGGACTGCGATTGCTTCACCCCTTAATGCCGTTTGTTACTGAAGAGTTGTGGCAACGCCTTTCTCCAGCCAGGGGCCATAAAAGAAAAGAGTCGATTATGATATCTGAATACCCTACAGCCGAAGATGTGAGTTTTAGTTTTACTTTCATGCTGTTCACAAGGATGATAATGTGGGACCAACACCATAAATTAGCTATGTTTTTTCAGTTTTCCCTGATGATTTACCCTCTTTCCCACTCTATAGGCCTGGACAAATGAAGAGGCAGAACACGAAATGGACCTTGTTGAGTCTACTGTCAAATGCCTAAGGTCGTTGAGGGCTAAGGTGCTTGGGAAGCAAAAAAATGAAAGGTGATTATTGGAAATAATTTCTATTGTGCATGCAAGTTTAGATTATTGTTCACCTTTATGTTTGAGACTAGTTTAATTGAGTGTTTGGATATATGAGTCTAGGGTGATTTGCTTTCAAGAGTGGTGTTACTCAATTTGTTTGGGATTGTACTGATAAGAAAATAAGACATTTGTAACAGGTTGGAATAGTTTTTTGAATGGAAGATGTGTATGTGGGAGTGTCTTACTAAGTTTTTTTCCTACTTTATTGGAAAATGTCAGTCTTTGTTCCTTAATGGTTTGTTTTTTCCTCTAGGCTACCGGCTTTTGCTTTTTGCCTAAATGAGGATATTTCGAAGATCATTACAAGCTACAACTTGGAGATTTTAACTCTTGCAACTTTATCAACTATGAAGGTACACCATCGCTTTTGCTATATGTTTGGCTCCTTATTTTTACCTTATTGTTTATAGTGTTCTGATTCTTCAATCCCTGCTCCTCTTGGCTTAAGATAGGAGTAGTTCTTCCCCATGTTATCATATGCTTGGAAGTTTAGCAGATAGCTAGTAAATTTATAAGTTACTAGTCAGGAGTTTAAATTACTGTTGGGCTCTTGTCCACAACCTTTACCAACAAGTTCCTTTTTGAAGGTTCAATTTTTTGGTGTTGTACTAGTCTACTAGAGTTCCTGATGGAATAATCTAATTATAATACTATGCTCTTTGGCTTCACAAGAGTTAAGAATTAAAGATTTTATATCTAGATTTTATCCAAGTGAGAAGCAATGAAGAAATCAGATTACCAAATAAAGGCACTAAGGATTCCAACCCATAATTTTATTTCCCATTGTGATCTTAAGTAAATTAGCAGATGTAATTAATTTGGATTAATTGCTGATTTAAGCATGTTGGAAGTCACCCTAATTCTTGCACCATATCAAGTTAGAAAACAAAGTAAGGAAGCAGAAGAAAAGGCTAGTCTAGTTTTTATTTTTGAATTCTGACCAACTGTACTGCATAGTTTGATGTTTAACATGGAAGTCTCATGGAACTTGCCGACCTACCACTCCAAAAAAGTTCTATGCGACATTATTTCATTGCTGATGAGTGTGCCATTAGCTCTGCTTGCTAAGCTGGTTGCTTCATTCAAATATTCATATCTTGAACATATGTCACCCCCTTTGGACAATTATGTTTAAAGTTGCATTTTATCATCTAATGTTACTTGTGTTCAAATGGAAGTCGTCATTTTTGAAATAAAATATAATGCAGGTTTTATTGAGCGAGAAAGATGCCCCTCCAGGTGGATGTGCATTTGAGAATGTTAACGAGAATCTTGCAGTCTATCTTCAGGCTGAAGGAAAAATTGACACAGAAGCAGAGCTTGAGAAGATGAGAAACAAAATGGACGAGATACAAAAGCAAGTCTTGTCTTCTTAACAAAAACTGTGTTTTTATTAAGAAATTCACACAGATATACATGCATGTATGCACGAATAGGTGTATATACTCATTTATATGCACATCATTTATTTATGTGTGTAGGACAGCCTGTTATTTATGAGTGTGTGTGTGTGTGTATATCTACTTGGTACTGCTACATGCATTTATGATTTGGCACTCTGTGCGCTGTGTGTCTGTTGTAATAAACCTTCAGTGATGTTCATAACTGTAAAGTTTTGTAGTAAATAGGAAGTGGAGTTTACACAATAATTCACAACTCAGAAAAACTGTGTTTTTATTAAGAAATTCACACAGATATACATACATGTATGCACGAATAGGAATATATACTCATTTATATGCACATCATTTATTTTTTTGTGCAGGACAGCCTGTTATTTATGAGTGTGTGTGTGTGTGTGTATCTACTTGGTACTTCTACATGCATTTATGATTTGGCACTCTGTGCTGTGTGTGCCTGTTGTAATAAACCTTCAGTAATGTTCATAACTGTAAAGTTCGGTAGTAAATAGGAAGTGGAGTTTACACAATAATTCACAACTCAAAAAAATTAATGCTCGCATTGATTTGTACAAATACTTAATCTATGACTGTTTGCTAATTTATGACTCTTGGCTATTCACAGTAAACAAGAAACACTATTAGGAAAACCCAAACTTAAAAGGTTTGATATTTTTATGCTGTTGGAATTTAGCCAACCCAACTAGTTTGGGTTTGTGGCTTGGTTGTTTTGCTACCTGATCATGGTTGATTTTGTAGTTTCACTCAACTTTTCTTAAATGGAGAAGGAAAAAAAAATTGTATTCAGAGACCAGTCTATTGTCATTTGATAGAATCTTTATGTTATTCACTGTTTTTTTCTTTTTTCAACAGACAACAAGAGAAATTGGAGAAGATGATCAACGCATCTGGCTATAAAGAAAAGGTGCCCTCCCACATTCAGGACGAGAATGCCGAAAAGCTGACCAAACTATTTCAAGAAATGGAATTCTTCAAGAAAGAGAGTGAACGGCTGGAAGCCGAAAAGAGCACAAAACGGTAAATTAGGGTATTCAAAAAATCAAATTCTCTCTCCAAAGGGTGATTAAAATGTAGGTAATGCATTGGTATGAAAATCCAATTAAATAGAATGTGAGACAATCACTGAGCAAAGCATTTTTGTCATGGCTTCAACTGGGCCTCTAAACTTTCATTTTCTGAGTTGCTTTATTTATGTCTGCTTTGAGTAACATAGAGTTTTTCCAACAAATGAGTTTTAACTCTTGATGACCAGCATATTTCTCTTTTATGCCTTTTCTAAACTACTGTTGAGAGTTCATGTCCAAAATAATTGAAATTTATAGCCTACGAGTTCAGAATAGGAGAGGGAAGAAAAACATAGTCGCTGCATTGTCAAGAAATGCTGAATCAAGGGCTCAAATGGTTGGGATTTAGGTGAATGGTATGTTTGGAAAATTGTTTGAGGTGTTTAACTTCACAAAGGCTGAATTAAGGGCTTAAATGGTTGGATCTAGCTAAATAGGGGTATAATGCTTGTTACCATTCAGCTGCCAATATGGCAGTAAATTATAAATTATTTTTTCTATTTTGGAGAAACAAATTATTTATTTAATTATTTATGTTTATTTTATGTTATTTTTTAATTTATTTGTTAAAACATAGAAAAGGTAAAAGAAAAAAAAAGGTATTGTGGAAAGATTGATAATTGTTTTTAAAAAAATAAAAAAATAAAAAAATATTAAATTAAGTGTTTAAAACAAAGAGAATTACTCATTATTATTTTATTCGAAACTATAGGAACTAACTTATAATTTACTTGAATATGATACCTTTCGTGGATTTGCATGGGTGTGAAACTACACAAATTCCAACGATAATTACCGGCCTGCTTCTGCTGCAGCATCGGAGAAATGGGTTCAGGAAAAGCTACAAATTGTTCAATGGGATAATTGCATTATAAATATGTCAATTTTTATTTTTATTTTTAAATTGAGAATATAAACTTTAAATTTTTTGGTTTGAGTATATTATTTTTTTAAAAACTATCAGTTAAATATTCTCTGTCCAATTTCTATTAATTGCTTTGTTATTTGATAACATATCTTTTGCATTAGATTATTAAATTATGATTTTGTATTTTCATTTTTCAAAAAAAATTCCGGTTCTCATTTTATTTTTTCTTTTTATATTAAAATTTAAATTTCTCTCTTTCTCTCTCCACCCAAATTATATATATAGAGCGTGCCAGCGGCGTCAATTTTTTTTAATTAATAGTTAAACAATAATAATAATTTGGGAGAAAAAATAAAAAAGACAATATAATCATTTAGTTTTTCTATTAATTATCATTTTATCTTTAACAAAAAATTAGACGAAAAAACTTAATTGATATTTTTGAAAAAATTAATATATTGAAATGAAAAAAATAAAAATTAATGTATTCTATTGGGAAAAGGTTTAAAATTGATATATTTATTATGTATTTTTTTTCCAAATAGCACATCATCAAATAACAGGGCAATTGATAAAATTTTATAGAAAAAAAAAATATTTGATTGATAGTTTTAAGAAAAATACTTAAGTAAAAAATAAAATTTATTTACTAGATTGAAAAATATAAGAAAATAATATACCTATAATGTAATAATCCTATTGTTCAGTAGTTAACAGAGAATCATTGGTTTATTAGTTTTTACATTCAAAATGGAATGACATTTGTCAGCTTTGCAAGTGTCCTCATGTCTTTGTCCCAGTTCTTGTTCTTGTTAAATTAAGAAAAAAGAAATGTATGCTTGCTTTCAGTTGCTTGGCAGTTAGTGGCTGTGTCTAAACTTGACAGAGAAATGCAGACTTTGTCTTAACTATAAAGACATCCATAATTTGTACAATCTTTTATTTTTAGATAAAAATTAAATCTCAATGTACCAGGATGCTTGATGGAACAGGGTATCGAATATACTTTTAGGGGGCTGTAATTTTTAGAGTAAATTATAAATTAGTCCTTATATTTTTGGAAAATAAATTAGTTAGTCTTCTTTGTTACAAAAACTAATTATTTATTTTTTTTATCAGTGTTGATCACATTTAATTTAAGATTATTTTATTTAAAAAATTAGCATATTTTTCATCAATTCTTCAATATTTATTACTTTTTGTTTTCTATTCTTAGAAAAATTTAAAAAGAACGAAAAGAATTAAGTTACAAAAAAATTAAAAATGTAAAGACTAACTAATTAATTTTTAAAATAAAAAAACTAATTAATTAGTTTCTCAAAACTAAAGGGACTAATTTATAATTTACTCCAATTTTTCATCTTCAGCCAAAGCCACTTCATGCCGATATTTATTATTTAACGACTTATTCTCTCTCTCTCTCTCTCTCTCTCTCTCTCTCTCTCATATATATATATATATATATATAATTTCTAAAATTATAAAAGCAAATCCTTTATTTTATGAAAATGTTAAATTAATACAAAGGACTGTGATTTGCAGACAGTGCGCTGACAAGCGCGAGACTGTTAGAATTTGTAGGGATATTGTACAGTTTATTCCCTATTATTTATGGAAATTAAAAAAATAGTTCTTTCCTTTAAAAATTTTGTAATTAGGCCCTTTTTATTTTGATTTTTTTCTTCCTTTATTAGAATTAAAATATCTACCTTTTTCCTTTCTTTTCATACAACAAAACACACTTATCAAAATTTATAATTTTTGTAAAACTCAAAATACACATGAATATTGCTTCACTAAACATATTAACAAAAATAAAATGATCTATTTAACTAATTAGTGGAAATATGAGAAGAATATTTTAATTATTTAAGCACTTATCTTCAACCTACTTTATTGATCTCTAACTCACATAATTTCTTAAGTTTTCTCCCAAAAATTAATTTGTGACAAAAAATCATTTTTCCGATTGAAACTCAATTTTAGCCCAAGAAATCAATTTTCACATTAAAATCAAATTTATAAATTCACTTCATTTTTTTTTTTTGAGTTTTCTTCGTAAATATATTAAATTTCATATAATTTTAAGTATAATATTTTTTTTTTTTAGCTCAACAATAAGAGCATCATGACTCATGAGGCCAATTTACGTGTCAACCAAAACTAAGTTCCTCCCTATGCGATTTTAAGAGAACACTTTTCATATCGACTTGATACATTTAGATAAATTTAATAAATTCTCTTGGATGAGGCTAATTTACGTGTCAACCAAAACTAAGTTCCTCCCTATGTGATCTTAAGAGCACACTTTTCATATCGACTTGATACATTTAGATAAATTTAATAAATTCTCTTGGATGTGGCCCTAAGGTTTAAACCTAGAAAGTCAAGGAAGGAAGCAAACTTTCTTAATCACCTAGCCAACTCTTTGAGGTTAAAAAGTAGAGTGCAACATGAGAACTTTCTAAAAAGTCGCCCATATGAGCACAATTATCATCCAAATACGTTTAATTTCGAAATTCTAATGGTTTCGGTGCATTAATGCTGATATAATGATAATATATTTAAAATACATGTTTGGACCTAAAAGAATCACATTAAATCAATTTTATGATTTTATTTAATTTGTTTGCGTGACCGATATATTTTTCTTTTAAGGATAGATATTGTGTGAATGTGAAAACTACTTCGTCATTAAACTCGGATGAAAGTTCTACATATATATAGTCAAAGTAATGATAATTAAGATACAAAATGATCCAATAAAAGATTATGGTTCTAAAAAAATTCATGTAATCTAAGAGGTTAAAATTGATCCAAAATTAAAGTGATTGGATTCCAAAAAATACTTAAGGTTTTGAGATAGAAAAACCTACTAAACTACAAAGGTTTTTTTGATAGAAAAACCTAAGAAAACTAATAACCATATTAAGAAAAGTGATAAAGAAAAGCAATAAGAATCATAGAGAAATGCTAAGAAAAACGATAAAGCAAGCAAATAAAAATTATAGAGATGAATATTGAAATAAAACATAGTTGAAAGGGACAAAGGTAGACTATAAAGCTAAAAGAAATCATAGAGCTTGAAATAATAAATTGTAGGAAGTTATGTTTGTTGGGGCTAATTACTAATACAAGAAGAAAATTATCAATTTATAGAGAAAATTATACTTGATGACCAAGGCAGGCGAGATCTCTAATAGGAAAATTACAAAAGACATGAAAAGAAGCAGGTTTTTTAACAATAATCACTCTTCATAGCTTGTTCATTCACCTGTATTCACTGTTCACTAGGTGGAAATTTAAATAATTTCGGTCGGTAGTTTTTTTTCATGAATTTTGGAGTGTTTTTTATATTTGATTTACAAATTTAACACTTTTTTCTTATTTAGTCCCTCATGTTTTACATAACATTTTTTATCTCTCATATTTTCAAAATATATTTGCGGTCCTTGGATGGAAAGATGAGAGACAAACAAAGAGAGAGAAAGGAGGAGAGAGAAACGTCTGGTTAGGCTAGCTTCTGACTGTTTCTTTGTTAGATTTTGCATTTAAATTGTTTGTTTTGGTGAGAAGATTGCATTTATGGTCTTTTTAAATCATAAAATGATTAGATAAGATAGATTGAAGTCCAAAATAAATTTAACTTTTTTATTTGATTTGATTTGTGTTTTTTTTTTTAATGTGTATTGAAATGATTTTTAAGGTTTCAAATGAGTTTACTGACCTTATTTGGTGATTTTGAGGTGCTTTTAAACAAAAATATACCAAAAATGAGTTTTGACTTCTTGAAAATGTAAACCAGATTTTTCGATGAGGAGTCTGGCAAATGAAATTCGTTGGAAGTTGTTGGTTTTTTTTAAGGACCTCCTGGGCTTGCCTCTCCATGCGCAGATGCGTAGGCTTGTGCCTGGGCTTGCTCCTATAGCCTAGGCATGCATCCTAGGCCTGCTTTTGTAGGACCACATGTAGGTTTTTTTTTAAGTGTTTTTTTTTTTATTATTATTGAATTGGGTGTGAAAATTATAAAAACACAATCTTATATGTTTTTGAATTTTTACATACACTAAAATTTTTGAAATATATGCGATTTTTTTCAAATTTTAGAATATATATATATATATATATATTATTTTTACTTGTTTAAAATTGATTTATTCAATTTTCTTATTCTAATGAAAATTCTCATCAAATTATTTTTTTATTTTTAATGTAATTTTTTGTTAATAAATATGATTTATTTATTTTTTTCTACGTATGGATTTTTGAATTATTTTTTAAAATAAATAATTAATAAAATAATAGAATTTGCTTTTTTTATTTTCTTTTTCTTTATACAATCAAATTTTACAAAAATCAATATTGTCGTTGTTTCAATATATTTGTTATAATTTTTTAAAAAATATTTTTGATTTATACTACACACTCGGTTCACCGAGTTTGATCATAATGTATAAAAAAAATTTAGAATCGTTGGTTTTATTAAAAATTATCTATGCATCTACACATATAACACCAATCATTTACGTTTCATTTTTTTTAATATTCTAAAATTAATTTATTTCAAATAGATCAATTAAAATAATATTTTAGAAGAACCATCTAATAATCCAAATGCATCTTTTTATAACAATAAATATATCAAACGTATATATTTTTAAAAAGTTAAAAAAAATTCATTTGTTAATTTTTATATAAATTTTTATATTCATGGTTGTTTTTTTATTCGATGCAATCTTATAAAAAAATATTAAAAGATTTTTAAAATTTTTCATATTAAATTATCAATTTATATTATTATAGGTTTTTATTTAAGAATTAACGTATAATGAAGAACCAACCGTGTTTTTTAACAACAAAAAATATAAAATTTTGATTCAAAATTATAAAATTAAATAATTTTTTTTATTCAATATATTTCAGTAGAATCGCGACATAGCTTAGATTATTAAACTAAAATTATTTTGTAAATTAATTTTATATGTTCTGCTTCCCCTCCACCGTAGCACGAGCTACCAAGCAACCAACTAGTATCTTTCTCAAACAATAAAGACAATAACTGCTGCCAATATTGTCTTGGTTTGTTTGTACTTCTCATTCCTAGAATATTTAGAGTTGTTCCCTGATCAATAAAGATACCAAATAATTGGAATACATATTTGAAGAGAGTATTAGCCAATATTGGCTTGATTCCGTTCTAACATGAAATATATTTACCATTACTGACTTCTATCACATTTGAAAAGGAAATATAAAATGGACAATTGTAATAACCATCGAATCCGATTATTAAACACTCAATAATCATCCAAAAAGTAAATTTTGATAAATTTAAGATATAAAAAAATTACCATCAACAAGCATAAAACCTGTTTAAAAATTGATTATTTGACCCTATAGTTGGCCTATAAAATTGATAATTTAGCTATATAGGTAACTTATAAAACTGATTATTTAGTCTTTTAGCTGGCCAATAATCTCCATTTAAATTTCAAATCACTAGTTTTGTTTTTTATTTTTTCGAGTATTTATATATAGTAGGTTATTCTCAAATTAACTTTCGCATCGATCGAAATTAAATCTATTATTTTTTAATCTAAGTCAGCGTTAAAAAATACCTAATCTTTGAATTGAGCTTTTTTAAAGCCAAATCAGTCCACATTTAATACAATTAAGAGATAATCATAACAGTAAATTAAGGTGTCAAGAAATCCTCGTAACAATAAAATAATCACAGTACAATCTCAATGGAAACTACAACCCATTCTCAAAATATAGTCGCCATGATATCATCAAATAGATAAAGCTGGTCAGAAGATATTCATTCGTTTCAGGCTTGGTGAACTTTTTGTATGGCATCAAGGACTTGCTTTCCACTCTCGAGAACTAGAGAGACCTCCTTAATGTAGAATTTCATGATTATATACAGAACAAAAATTACCATTCATTGAACAATCCACTCATAATATAAAATAAGGAGTACTAATCTACACGAAATTACATATTACAAGAGTAATTGAGACATGCTAATTTTTCCCCTATCAAAACACTGGAGAAGATCAACTGGAACATGCTGGCTAGCTAGATATCAGATTTCTGTGTATTCAAAAGAGCTTTCGTAGACCCTGCAGACGACAGTGATGAGTTGGTAGAGCAGCTGCTGCAAGAACATTTAGTTCGATATTTCTCGGAGCCGGTTGTGGAGGCAGATGATGAGTAGGAGAACTTGCAAAGGCTCATGGGAGGTGCATAATACATTGCAACAGGCAATTTTGAAGGAAGTGTAGGCAATGGAGCTTCAAAATTAAGAACATTTATCACTTGCCTTATAGATGGCCGAAGGGTGTAGTCTGGGTGGCTGCACCATAATCCCACAATCATTAAACTTTCAATCTGCCGCTCGTCGAAATCTGTACTCAACCTCTTGTCAACGGCATCAAGAAGTTGCCCTTTGCCGTAGAGGTCCCATACCCACTCCACCAGCCTTACTTTACTTGGTTCTTGTCTGGTTTCTACTGGCCTTCTTCCACAGGTGATTTCAAGTGCGACGACACCAAAACTATAGACATCTGATTCTTTGCTAGCCTTGCCTGTCGTAACACATTCAGGAGCTAAATAGCCCATGGTGCCGGCCAAAACAGTTGTTTGTGAACCCAACTCATGGTCTACGAGCCTTGCCAGACCAAAATCACCGAGTTTGGCGTTGAAATTTGAATCTAACATAACGTTGCTAGACTTGATGTCTCTGTGCACTATACACTGTTCCCATTCCTCGTGAAGGTACAATAGGGAAGAAGCTAAGCCAAGGGCTATTTTGTACCTTAGGTTCCAGGCTAACATGACTTTTCCTCCGAAGAGATGGGAATCAAGGCTTCCATTGGGCATCAACTCGTAGACGAGAAGAAACTCACCCTTTTCATGGCACCAACCAATGAGTTGAACCAAATTTCTGTGTCTCAAACGACTGATGATCTTTACTTCTGACACATACTCCTTTTTACCTTGCTTCGATCCTCTTGACACCCTCTTAACTGCAACTTCTGTGTTGATACCTAACAATCCCTTGTAAACACCTCCAAATCCTCCCTCTCCAAGCTTTCCCTCCTCTGCAAAGTTGTTGGTTGCACGAATTAGTTGGCGGTAAGTGAACCTCTTAGGCCCAGTTCCCTTCTCAAATTCATCGTCCATGGAAACATCAATGGCCTCATTGTCCTTTGCACAGCATGTCCTATTTTTTCTCCTACAGACAACCAAACATAACGCACCTATCCCACAAGTAGTCAGCAACCCAATACCCACAGCTAAACCAACAACTAATCCTGTTTTCTTTTTATCATTAACTTCCAAATTTGATTCAAATTCCCAAGCTAAAATGTTATGTATCTCAACCCAATCACCTGTGGAAGCAGAGAAACCTATCCTGACCCATTCAGGCAAAAAATCCCTAAGATCAATGATATAATAAAGGCTAGAGTTCCCACCAAACACAGGGTTTTCAGCGTAAGTTAGAAAGACACTCAAGTTTTTGGTAATGGAGTTGTAACTTATCCATGCATTTGCCTTCGATCCATTTTTAATGCTGCTTTTCCAAGTGACAGTAGCCACAGACTCAATGGAGTTCACATCAATGCCTACATGATCATCACTTGGATCCCATCTATTTCGATTGCTATCAAACTCAACAGCAACAATTTGATTTCCTTTGGAGGCATTGAAAGCCTTATCAGGACTAAATAATGCAAGATAGCCACCACTTGAATTCTGGGGGATCTGAGAGTCTGCTGGTGCAAGGAAAAAGATATCCCATCGCCATACCACTGTGGGTCTACTGCTCTCATGATGAAGGTGAAATGGGTGGTGAAGTCTGTAAGCCTTCTTGTCTTGGCATCCCAGAGACGAACTGGCTGGCTATACGTAGCTCGCCCAGTACTGCCGGTGAGGTTGTCGTCTTTAGCATTCTTCGTGAGTTGGAGAACATTGTTGGATGAAAAGGCATCGCCTTGGAAGGATATGTTTGCCATGTTGGGACTGAAACTGGTGAAGTTGAAGGAAACTGAGTTCGCATATATGAACAAAGTGGAAATTGCAAACACAAGAGTATGGATTTTCTGAGATTGAACAAGGCATGAGATTGAGTTGGGAAGAGCCATAATGGATGAAAGCATAGAGAAGAGAAGAGAAGGTGGCAATTGGGAGAAGAGGCCTATGAGTAGTTCAACTTTTATGCTTTTGCTAATTATGTTTATTGTATTTTACATTAACTAGTTACGGAATTTACTAGGTCAAATTTGTTGGGGTTTTTAATTTTTTTTTTAAAAAATTAAACTGGAGATTTTTTTTTTTTTTCACTTAGGTATATTCATGGTATGATTTTGAAATTCGAATTCTGCATGTGCATAAAAAATTTATCTAAATATCAATTGCTTTACCAATAAGCCAAAATCTTGGTAAATTCGAGATTTCTCCAAAAAGAAAAAATTGACCTATAATTTATTGGTGACATCTTCTCGTTGATTTTGCCTGCTCCAACAGTATTGATATATTTATCTCTAAATATTTTAAGATAAGACTTGGTAATTTACGCATTTATTAGGACGCATAATTTGAGTAATTAGTGGAATTAAATATGTTATGGCTTTCTCAGTGGAAGAATTTAATTTTAAACTATTAGTTGACAGGTTCTTTGGGAAAATCTCAACTAAAACAGGCTGAATGATTCTAAAGCCGACCCTCAGTTTACTTGGTTTTGAATACAGAAGATGATGAATTGCTATTTAAGCGTCACAGTTACTAGTTGCTAAGACTAATTAAATTAATTCATTAGAAATTTTAAGAGGATTGGCTTGAACGAAAATGATTTTAGTCGTTTAAGCAAGTGATATTCGTTTTGAATCCTTATGTAAAAGAAAACTCTTTAAATAACTATATCAGTTTTATGCATTGGATTAAATAACAAAAAATTAGTTTTGAGTTTTTGAACCAATGATACAAAAGAAAAGAAATAAAATAATAATAAGTCATTATAAGAAGAAAAAAGTATTTGCATAGTAGGTATTGGGTTTCTAATTAATTGTCAATCTATCATTTTAGTAAGATTTTTAGGTTAAATTATTAAAATTAATCATATGATTTATACATAAAAACATTATATTTGATTAGCTTATAAGGATACTTTGAAGAAAAAAATTGGTCATGCAAATTACGAGAATAATTTCGATAGCTTGACTTGAAAATCTTGACAAAATAATAAATTGAAAACTTAATATACATTGACAGATAAAATTAATTCAATTAAAAATATAGATTGAAAAATTCCGTTGTCATATAAAAATATTCAGAGCTATTAACCCTTAATTTTTTTCTTCTTATTTTTTTCTTAAAGTATATCGTTTAATCCCTGTGTTTGCCATCTGGAACATCCATCAAATCGTTATTTTATTAGTGTAACTGCTATTTTGTTTCTTTCCTTTGGACTAACTAAGTAAGGCAAAGGTCGTTGAAACATCCAAAGAAAATTGGTGGATTAATTAATTATGAAAAGAAATAGAAAAGATGAAGTTGATACTTTCTTCTATTTCTATTGTTGAATAATGAGATGAGTTGATTTAGCTTAGATAAATAAAAAACTATGGATCGTTCAGTCATCCCCCCATATAAATAAATAAATATTGATCAATTCAATGCTGCTAAATTTAAAAATTAAAAAGTAATAGATTTAATTTCGATTATATAAAAACTAATTCAAAATATTTATCATTATTTTTATATGTATATATAAAATGAACACAGACAAATTGCTGAATAAATCGTCATGTGAATTCCCAAACAACATGGCAAACAAATTGCCTTTTGTGTTTGCCTTTTGTGTTTGCCGGCTAAGATAGATACCCCTTTGTTCTGTGTGGGAAACCAACTGAAAATCCTTGATGCTGAAATGAAAAGGAAACTTTTTTTAATAGAATAATGAAAAGGGGATTAGCCTCGTGTACCCCATACGTACAAAGCCGGCCGATCATCTTCTTGTAATCATAGCATATAATAAGAGGAAATTATAAATTAGCACCGTTTGTTTTGAGAAATAAATAAATCAGCTGTTTTGGTTTTAAAAACTAATTATTTAATTTTTATAGTTCTAAATTTTCTTGTAACTAAATTATTTTCTTTATTATTCAATTTATTTTGATTTTTTGTCTTAAAAATAAAAAAACGTACAAATATAGAAAGATCGATGAAATTTTTTTTAAAATAAAATAATATTACATTATGTGTTGTCATATTGATTAAAGAATCAAATAAGTAAATTTTGAAACAAAAGAGACTAATTAATTTATTTTTCAAAAATAAAGAAATTAATTTATAATTTACTCAAAATAATAATAATAACAATATGCAAATTGTCCATCTTTTTCTGTCTCACATGAGTCATGACCACCACAGGTACAACACTAAATGTTGATAATTTTGTTTTTCGGAAAATCTCAAGTCGCATAGTTCCAAACAAGTACTTATAAGGCTTTATTAAAATAAAGATTACGAAAAGGGGTGCTATCCCTCAATAAAAAAATCATTTAAGTTTAAGTAATTAATTAACGAGTCTAAACAATCCAACTAGCAAATAAAATTAGAATGATTTTTCTAATTACAGAGTTTATTAAAATAAATTTCTCAAGTAAGAAGTCCTGGTAATTGGTAGCGATAATTCTTAGGATTAATGATAAGTATTTTTAGATCTAAACAATTGATTGACAACTCCATTTTTGTGTTAAGTTTGTTTGCATATTGTCGGAATATCTGAATGTATCAGTATGCTTCTACTAACGATTCAGATGGGCTAAGCTATAAGCCCATAATTAGCCTATTTTTTCGTTAATAAACAGTAAAAGTCCTTCTGTTCATAATTAATCTAGCTAATTTTTCATTCATTTTTGACTTTTTGAAGGGACATGTGTCATATTTTTTCAGATTTCCAAAAAGAAAGAGAAAATTTGATTAAAAATTCCAAATAATAATAAAAATCCTAAACTTTTTACCAATATATTTATTTGGAATTTTTTTATTTACACTAGCTAAATTTTCTAGTTTATTTTAAAAAGCAAAAATATATATATATAGATATATATATATATTTGTGTTATCACTGACTGATTAGCAAATATTATAGTGATTATTTGGGTATTGTAAATCAAAAGATGTTCTAATAATATTAATTAAAAAAGTGATGAATTTATTGATGAAACACACTTGATGAAATGTTTCAACAAAAAACTGCAGATTTTTTTATGTCTTTAACTGTTATGAGCTTGTGCTTGATATGTGGCAAGTTCGAGGGCTAGAGGCTAAAAATTGAAATGCCTCACTACCTAGACTTGGGTAAAAATACAAAACATATGTTTATTTAGTGTAATCCGACATTAGGCTAATCCCGTTTTCTTTTTATCATTGACTTCCAAGCTTGATTCAAATTCCCAAGCTAAAATGTTATGTATCTCAACCCGATCACCTGTGGAAGCGGAGAAACCTATCCTGACCCATTCAGGCAAAAACTCCCTGAGATCAATAATATAATAAAGGCTAGAGTTCCCACCGAACACAGGGTTTTCAGCGTAAGTTAGAAAGACGCTCAAGTTTTTGGCAGTGGAGTTGTAACTTATCCATGCATTTGCCTTCGATCCATTTTTAATGCTGCTTTTCCAAGTGACAGTAGCCACAGACACAATGGAGTTCACATCAATGCCTACATGATCACCACTTGGATCCCATCTATTTCGATTGCTATCAAACTCAACAGCAACAATTTGATTTCCTTTGGAGGCATTGAAAGCAGTATCGGGACTAAACAACGCAAGATAGCCACCACTCGAATTCTGGGGGATGGAAGAGTCTACTGGTGCCAGGAAAAAAGATATCCCATCGCCGTACCACTGGGGGTCTACTGCTTTCATGATGAAGGTGAAATGGGTGGTGAAATCTGTAAGCCTTCTTGTCTTGGCATCCCAAAGACGAACAGGCTGGCTATACGTAGCTCGCCCAGTAATGCCGGTGAAGTTATCGTCTTTAGCATTCTTCGTGAGTTGGAGAACATTGTTGGATGAAAAGGCATCGCCTTGGAAGGATATGTTTGCCATGTTGGGACTGAAACTGGTGAAGTTGAAGGAAAGTGAGTTTGCATATAGGAACAAAGTGGAAATTGCAAAGACAAGAGTATGGATTTGATGAGAATATTGAAGAAGGCATGCGTTTGAGTTGGGAAGAGCCATAATGATCGAAAAGCAAAGAGAAGGGAAGAAGTTGTAGATTGGGAGAAGAGGCCTATGAGTAGTTCTACTTTTATGCTTGTCCTATATAATTTTGTTTCTTGAATTTTACATTAACTAGTTACGTGCTATACTTGCTATGCTAGTTCTGTCGAAAATATAATAATAATAATAATAGTGAAAGATTGTTAATTGTGATAATAGTAAAAGAATTGGATAGAAAAATAATAGAAAAAATGAGTTCATTATGAGAAAAATGAATACAAGTAATAGCAACCCCAAAAATTTTTTCTCACTTTTGACAAAAACTCTACACAATCAACTACTTGAACAATCAAATTTATTTATAAGTTTTAATTGAGTTTTACAACCAATATTATCTTCATATAATATTATTCAAATTTCATCGCTAGTAGATAAACTATATGTTTATCGGATATGATGAGTCATTCATCTTAGCCTAACACATTCTTAACTTATCTTATGAATTGCTAATATTTCGCATGGTTTGAAGATGTAGCGACTATGACTCATAAAATGCTATGATATAGTTGTATCACTATGTATAAATACATAATCGAGTTTATGATTGAGTTTTATATAGATTAGATAAATAACATATATTTGCATAACTAATTAATCATGATTTTGATTTATTAAAATAAAATAACCTTATATTAATTGTTTCTTGGAGATAACGTAGTATACGTTTAATTTCATTTTAGTGTCTTCGTGTTGGAGTAAAAGCTAATAAATTTATAAAAAATACTATATCAAGTCGGGTATTATTAGAAAGATACATCAATACTAATTACATTAAGTTATGATACTTTAGGACCAAGAAGTTTTTTGTTATCTTCTTAAGGTCGAAAATGATACTTTTGGACACCAAGTGAAAGAACTATCATTGGGCTAGTCAATTGATGAGCCTTATCTATATAGAATCATCATAGTATATTTTCTATACAAGTTGACTGATAAATAAAAATCACATTTTTTAAGTGTTCAAACTATAGGCCAAGATAAAATTTTATTTTCTAAAGATCTTTCATGTCAAATTCTATTTTTAGTTAACTAATAGCACTTAAAATATCTCTAGGAGTTCAAAAAATATATAAACAATAAACATATACAACAATTACTACCAACCTATTTTCGAATTTGTTTATATAAGACACATGAACAAATAGAGTAATTTTTATAACCTTATTTCAATAAATACTTACTAAGATGATTATACCGCATGTGTCTAAATTGTTTCAATCTATATAGAGACATTTATAATTTAATTGAATATATTTCTCGAAAATATAATTTACATGCTTCAAACACTTAAAGTCCTTTTAAGTCTTTCTTATAGATATCATTATCAAGTGAATCATATAAATAGCTTGTGATCATATCTATTAAATGCATATGAAGTTTTTTATGTGTTACTAGGTTAACAAGTTAACAAAAAGTAATTGCATCCATTATAAAAGAATATGTCTCTTAATAATCAATGTCAAGTCTTTACAAAAACTCTTGTGGTACAAGTCTTTCTTTATGTCTCACAATTTCATTTTTTTTAAAAAAAATTTCACATAATACCCACCTATTTGTATCCTATTGGCTTAACATCTTTAGGTGTTTTGACTATGGGTCCAAAAATTACTCATTTTGTAAGAGAATTTAATTATGCATGAATTGCATTTTTTCATTTAGACCAATAATTTTTATGTTGATATTCTTCAATAGATTTAGGCTCGGGAGCCTTATTCAAAATATCAATTGCAATATTATATGCAAAAATGTTATCAATATATATATATCCTATTTTTCCTTGTATTAACTTAATTTAGTGAAGTTGCTTAATTTTTCTCAAGCATTTAAACTTCTTATGAAAGTCCGTTATCAAAATATCTTGGAGCATTTTAAGAATATCTACCTCCTTTATATTTTCATCTTAATTATTTTTTCTTTTTTTCTTTTGGATATTTTTGTTTTTAAAATTATTCGATCTTCTAAACTTTAAGCATGCTTTAAATTCATTTGTTATAACATTAATAGGTTGTCCTACTAAGACATTAATTTTAATAGAAGCATTCTCGGTGAGGACATGCATTTTAGTTATCTCTTTGGATCAAATAATGCATTTAACGGTTGGTTTATAAGACTTTATAAATGAATTATCTTCTGAATTTTTAGTTCATATTGTTTTATGCATGATATACACCTTAAGGCCTATATTTATGTTCTTCACGGATGAATTGTGAGCTTACAAGCTCAATCTAATCTTACTTTTAATGATTTTAATGAGCAATCGTGCTGAAAACATATTGAAAATAATAATAATAGTAAAAGATTGTTATGATAATAGTAAAAGAGTTTGAGATAAAGATAATAGAAAAGTCAGTTCACTATGAAAGAAAATAAATACAAGTGATAGTAACTTCAAAATAACTCTCTCACTTTCTACAAAAACTCTATAAAACTAACTAATGAACAATTAGGTGTATGTATAAGTTTCAAGATTAGAAAGAGAATTATAAGAGACTATAGACAATTAAAAAGTACATAAATAATTGAATCAAATATACTACCCTTTTAATCTTTCATATTGAATAGTCATGAATTGAATCATATTAAAGATTATAAATAGTGAAAATATAAAATAAACATGAATATTTATATGGACATTTATTATTTCATAATAAGATCAAATTTATTTGATTTTATATGTTTTTTTAAAAAACCAAAAAATAGATTTAAACTCGAAAGCTCTAGAACATAAAAAAGATACTAATATTGATTGACCTATAATTCATTGGCGATTTCTTCTTCTTTTATTTTGCCAGGTCTAATGGTATGTATATATATATATGTTAGACTTAGTAATTTACGCATATATTAGGATGCATAATTTGAGTAATTAGTTGAATTAAGTATGTTATGGCTCTCTAGATGGAAGAATTTAATTTCAAACCTCGTAGTTGACACTTGACAGGTTCTTTGGAGAAATCTCAACTGAAACGCGTTTAATTATTCTAAAGCCGACCCTCAAATTTTATTATTATTATTTTATAGAAGGTTAATTGGCATTTTTGGGCGGCACAGTTAGTAGCTGCTAAGACTAATTAAATTAGGTCATTACAAAAGCAAAAAGTATTTGCACAATAGGCATTGGGATGCTTATTAATTATCATTAATTTTGAATTAATGAATTAATCTGTTTTTATATAATAGGATAAATTTTTAATCTATTTTTATTTTTCAATTGAATCAGTTTTATTAATGAATATATATAAAATGTCTAATCTATTATTCCGACAAGTTTTCAGATTAAATTACCCGAATTAGTTACACAATTTGTATATGAAATTTTTTTACTTAACTGGCTTACAAGGATATTTTAAAAAAATAGTCATGTGTAAATCATGAGAATAATTTTAGTGGTTTGGCTTAAAAATCTTGAAAAAAAGAGATAATGTAAAAACTTAAGGTTTATTGAAAGATAAAAATAACTCAATTAAAGATATAATGATAGATTAAAGAATTATGTTATTATATAACGATATTTTAAGCTATTAAACATTAATTTTTGTCTTTTTTAATATATAATTTAATTTCTGTTTTGCCATCTGGAACATCCATCAAATCGTTATTTCATTATTTTTAATAGATTGTTTAGAGTTAATTATTTATAAACTAATAAATTTGAATGTTTATTAATTAATTTTTTTTTCAAATTAATAATTTTGGTAGTTAAAATTAAATGAATTGTTTGATTTTTGAACCATATAAAATAGTTTTTTAAAGTACTTAGTAAATATCAGAGACATAAATAGAATTATCTTTCAAAATTTAAATATATATGATTCTTAAAAATAATACTTACTAAAAGATTCTCATTTGACATTATATTATTTTGCACCTTTTTTTTATTTTAAACAATTTGTATTTCCACTTACATGTGACATGAATTTAAAATAACAACATATATAAGAATAAAAATTTATAAATTATTTGTTTTTAATAAATCTTGAATTTTTTTTTTATTATTATCGAGTGTTGTCCAAAAGAGTAAAAACATAGCGTAAGATAATAACTAAAATTAAAAAATAAAAAATTAACCAAAGATTTATTTTAGTAATTTGATGAATTTTGATGTAATTTAATTATTTTAGGATTTTAATATTTTTTGCTTTTTATTTGATTGTTTTTAATCATTTTAAGAGTTTTGATAGTCAAAATAAATTACAATTATAGTATTATATAGTTTACGAGTCATCTAAGTAGCTTATTTTGTGTTATTTAAGGTTATATGTGGAGCATAAATAAGAAATAATAAAAAAGGGATTAACCTTATTTTTTACAATTCATTTAAAAAGAAAGCTATTTTTTTAAGAGTTACTATTTTTTTTAAAGAATTTTATCAATGTTGTTATTTTTCATAATTAGAGGTCGGTTAAAAATTACTTATTAATAATAGTAATATATTATATTGTTAGTATTCTATTAATAGCATAATAGTGAATCAAAAAGTTTTCAAGGAGCTCATGATTTTATACATATTGATGGATTTTTTTTCTTATTTATCATTTTACATTAAATTTTTAAACTTTTTTTAATAAATTCTTCTTTTGTTAGGAGCTTTATTTCTTTTAATAAAATAGCTTATTTTAATATTTTAATTACTAAATATATGTTTCTCTAGTATATCAAAAATTTAGATATTTTAAAAACTATTGTTTGTGTTAATAAAATTGTAAATTGAAAGAAAACACTGCAAAATGGGTAATATTTTGTTACACGTTTTTATTTTTTTAGAAAAACTTCCTGTTTGTATTTTCTAACATCCAGTTTATAAATACATAAATATACTATATATCTTATTCTATCATTTCAACCAAATTAATATTAAAATTGAAAGTTAGAGAACCATATTAAACAATATGGAAAACTAGAGGACCACGAAGTTCGGGGACTAAACTGCATCTCCCTTTATTTCTTGTCGGAATCTGGAAATATTATAGGAATCTGTCTAGATACCCGGCCATCCTCAAAAATCCACTTTTTTTTTTTTTTTCTCTCTCAGAAGAACACATTCACACAGTTTCCAAAACCTCCTAAACTCAAATCAAACCATGAAAAACGTTTCTAAACAACTAATTTAAACTAAAATTGAATTTTATTCTTTCTAGATCTATAACTGCAAAACCTCATATATCTTAGTTTCAATGAAAAAATAATTTAACTTATATGTCTATGAATTTCTTGTGAGAAACTCTTTCGTTTAACAAGAATTCCTGTTTTGTTTTACTTTTTTTGGAAATAAAGGCAGTAGGTAAGTAGCATAAAAAAGAATACTTAGTCATCAACGTTCTTTTCCGTTTAACTTCACATTTATTTTTAACATGCATCGCCCTTAAAGAAGGATGAAGGCATTGAAGGACATAGGCATCGTAGAATTTTTCTAATTCAAGAGAGACTTGCATAACTTTTCCAATCATGTGCTGATGCACAAGTTAATTACAAGATATTTCAAGCAATACAAAGGCTTAACATGATCGATCATACTTAACGCCCCGCGTCAAGGATTGTATTAGTTATTGAAGGCGGCTCACTAGAACGAGATGATGGCAGAGGCACATGAAACACAGGAACAGGCATCTTTCCAGGCAGATTTGGTATTGCAGCCTCAAAATTTAAGACATGAATTGCTTGTCTTATCGACGGCCTCAAATTGTGGTCAGGGTGGGCACACCATAATCCAACAATCATCAAACACTCTGCTTGTTTGATCTCGTCATCAAAATTCGTGAGGTCAAGTCTCTTGTCAATGGCCAAACTAAGATTTCCGCATCCATAAAGATCCCAAATCCACTGAACCAAGCTCAGTTCAGATTTTCTATCAATGGGATCATTAGTCTTTCTTCCACTAGCAATTTCTAAGGCCACCACTCCAAAGCTATACACATCAGACTCTTTACTAGCCCTTCCTGTGCTTATGTATTCTGGAGCCATGTAACCGAAAGTTCCTGCTAACCCGGTCGTTTTGGGACCAAGTTCATCATGGTCCATAAGCCTAGCCAATCCAAAGTCACCAAGCTTGACGTTAAAACTAGAATCTAGCATCATGTTACTTGATTTAACATCTCGATGCAAAACACACCGCTCCCACTCTTGATGAAGATAAAGCAATGCAGAGGCTAAGCCAAGAGATATCTTGTATCTCACCGCCCAACTTAGAGGACTGAGCTTCTTCTTGCCAAAGAGGTGAGAATCAAGGCTTCCGTTTGGCATGAACTCATATACCAACATAAACTCACCTTTATCATGGCACCAGCCTATGAGTTGTACCAGATTCCGGTGTCTCAGCTGGCTAATGGTCTTCACCTCCGAGAGGTACTCTTTTTACCTTGTCTAGAACCCCTTGAAATTTTCTTTACTGCAACTGCCATGTTCATGTCATTTAAATATCCCCTATAAACAGCCCCAAACCCCCCTTCACCTAGCTTCCTCTGATCTGAGAAGTTGTTCGTAGCTGAAACTAGATCAGCATTAGAAAAACTTCTCGGCCCTGCTCCTCTTCCAAGGTCTTCATTAATCCATTTCACGTTCATTGTCTCTGCTGATCTATTTATTCTCATAATTCTTTTCCTCCTCGACAAGATTACAGATAACGTGATCGCCCCAGCTACCAGAACTATTACGGAAACACTGGCACCAACTATAATTTTGCTCTTCTTTGAACTCTTACCATTCGTATCGTTAACGTTCAAAGTTGAATTGAACTCCCAAGATAGAAGTCTATGCCGTTCCATATTCTGACCGGTAGCAGCTGAGAAGCCAACAGTGACCCACTCAGGCAAAAACTTACTGAGATCGATTATGTGAAACAGACTAGAATTCTCTTGAGGATTTAAGGTTGTTTGGTAAGTCCAAAATACACTCAAATTTCTTTTAGTGGAATTATAGGTAATCCATGCCTCAGCAGTATCCCCACTGTGAAAGCTAGCATTCCAAGGTGTATGTACAGCTGAAGCAATCGAGTTGTTGTTGATCCCCACATGCTCAACTAGTGGATCCCATTCTGGATTTGGATACGAGTCAAATTCCACCGAAACAATTTGATTCTGAGAGGATTCCATGGTTGTAGTGTTAAAGAGGCCTAAAAAGCCACCAGCAGAATTAAGTGGGATTTCAAAACCAACAGGAGCGAGGAAGAAAGCAAGTCCATGACCATAATTCGGTGCACCAAGGGTATCGATGGTGAAGGTGAAATGAGATGTGAAATCAGAAACCTTTCCTGAACTGGAGTCCCAGAGCCGCACCCTTTCAGGATAGGTTGCCCAACCAACACGGTTTATATAATTAACCATGTTGAATTCAATACTGTCCACCAGAAGACACTGCATCACCTTGATAATTTAAGGTGGTTTCGTGAAATTGAGATATTTTAAAATAAACTGAATTAGTAGAGGGGAGAATAAGAAGATGAAGAAGGAAGGTAAGGTAGAGGTAATAAACCATACTTGGTAAGGTGTAGAAAGAGGTGAGCATGACGATGACAGAGAAGGTAGAGAGCATGCAGTGGAACTAGCAGATAGGAATTGTATGAAAATGGCAGGATAAACAAAACTAATATAATTGCAATATGGTCCAAGCTAGCCAGGGATTCTCCTGGTAAGTTGAAACCTTCACACCCAACTTTAATAGTTATTTTATATCCAAATCAGAAAGCTTCAGGGAAGGAATTAATCTACCTCTCCTTTATAATATAGCCAAATTCAAAGTCTAGGAATCTGTTGCTGACCGGAACAACCGGGTGAACCTGAAGGAAAATTCTAGCATTGCAAAATAGTAAATGACTAGTTTATTATTCATGCCATGTGCAGGTCAAGCAGAAGGTTGTAAAATAATTTAAAAAATTATTTTAGTTTAATGGTTTGTGCTATACTATTGACCTACCAAAATATATTAAATCAAAAATAAAGAAACAATTTATCTAATTTTTTAATCTAAATTTTATATTTAACTAAAATTCTTATGTTTTTCATGATTTTTGTACCCAAATACCATGATTTATTCTTTTTATTCAAGAATTCTTAATTAAAACTTGTAATAATCTAAAAAAAATTAATACAAAATAAAAAAATCATAATATTTTTTTATAAGACTATATCGTTAAAACAAAGTAACAATTGATGTAAAAACTATGAAGATTTGGATAGAGAAAAGGATTTTATTATTTTATATTTCAATTACAATAAAGATACATGGTCTTATATAATACACTTGAATGTCCAATTTAGGAAGGGACATCATAATTCTAGGACAATATAATTCTAGGAGATTTAAGCTACCATACTTAGAAGAAATCCTAGATATGAGGTTTGATCCTATTATGTTGATTTTGGAATTGCCTTTATCATGCCCATGGAACTCCTTGAGGAGATTCCAATCTTGTCTTTGAGAAGTTGAAAATGAGTAAGCGGAAGTGGTTTGGTTGGGGCATCCGCTAGTTGATCGGCGGAGGGGACATGAGTTACCCGAAGAGCACCACTTTGAATCTATTCTTGAATGAAATGATCGTCTAAGATCACATGTTTCATACGAGAATGGAAGACTAGGTTAGAGCACAAATTCATAGCACCAACATTGTCATAGTATATCACCAATGGCTTTGGAAAGGAAATACCCAGTTCACTAAGAAAAGAACATATCCAATGAAATTTAGTTATAGTGGTTGTAATGGAGCGATACTTAGCTTCAATGGAGGACCGAGCTATGGTTCATCGCTTCTTAGAGTTCTAAGATGTAGGATTGCAACCAAGATAGATAAGATATACACTTATGGAGGTAAAGTCATCTTTATTACTCGCTTAATCGCCATCGAGAGAATGCATGGAGAGTTAAGGATGAATTTCAATAGAGAACGAGCATCATGGTACAAGGTGCCTTAGAGATAAACTAAGAAGCGTTTAATGACAATCCAGGTGGTCACCTGGTGGGTTGATACATAAGCCGGGATAGCTTGTTGCAATTTCGGGGCTAGGAAGAGATATATATTGGAGACATCCAATAATGGTACGATACTTAGAGAGATAAGTGAGCATCATGCTAGAGTGAAAGTGAGTATAGGAGCGATGGCAAGAGGTGTGGGAGCTGGTTTGGCATCCGTCATATGCATGTGAGTAGGAAGATCTTTGATGTATTGGCGTTGAGAGAGGAATATGTCTTTTGAATAAGGAACTACTTCAACTCAAAGAAAATAGGTTAATGGACCAAGATCCTTAAGAGAGAATCAACTTACAAGGAAATGGATGAATTTTTATACAACAAAGCATTATTCCTTGTAATCGTCGGTATAAACCAAAAGATAAAGCATAGCCTCACTACTATTGTAGACAAATAGAGATACGTCGGCATAAGAGTTGGCAAAGTCATAGGTGTTAAAAAGCCGACGCAACTCATGATACCGGACCCCAAGAGCCTATTCAAAGCCATAGGTAGCCTTGTAAAGTTTACAAATATGATCAAGATGATCGTGATCAATGAAGCCTTGTGGTTAAGCCATATAGACATCCTCAATTAGTATCTTTAAGAAAGGCATTATTAATGTCAAGTTCGTTGAAGGGACCGTCCTTTACAAACAAGGCTAAGAATGATTCGAATAGTAGTTAGCTTGACAATTAGACTACAAATGTCATGATAATCTATTTTAGAGCACTGATGAAACCTTTTTGCAACTAAACGAGCCTTATATCCGTCAATAGAGCCATTAGATAGATATTTAGTGTGAAAAATCCACTTACGACTAATAATGTTCTTTATGGAATTTAAGGGCATAAGTTCTCACGTTCCATTTAGAACAAGAGCATCACACTCATCGGACATGGCCTTACGCCACTTGGGATCTTTGATGGCTTGGGTTAAAGAGGTGGGTGCATGGTCAATGGTGGAGGCAAGTGATGCGGTAAGGCTTAATTTGGTGATAGGTTTGTAAATGTCATTTTTGGATCCGGTGACAATAATACCGAAGTAGAAGTGTCATAGATGGAGGAGGAGGTAGGTAATTTAGATGTAATTAGTTGTAATGATGGTGGGAGAGGTGTTGTTATTGGATCCACATGAGGCATGTTTGTTGATATCATAGATGATGTGTTGGCAACCAATTGAAAGGACACAAAGGGACACCAATGAGTGAATGTTTCGGATAAGGCACATTCCAGTGAGACCGAAGAGAGAGACTTGACAAATTTGACATACCGAGATGTATAGATACGATAGAAGTTGGATTCAAGATAGAGGTAGCTACTTTAGGCATTGGAGTAACCGAAAAGGACATAAAATGCAAAGTATATTCAAAAGAGAAAAAAAACAAAAAAAAATAATGGACTAACCTCACAAGACTTGGTCCCAAAAAAGAAATGAAAGAATAGGTTGGATCTGGTAGAAAAAGGTAAAATATTAGGCATACCATTGAAAAAGGAAAAGGTTCGAAAACAACAAAATGATCCTATTTTAAACACCTTGAAATATTGTTTAAGCCTAAATCACTTGTTCTTCATGAAAGCCCTATCACGACCTACGTTACGTGCTTATAAAAGTCTTTTCCAATCAAAGATAAACTACTGATTTGATAAGTCTCAATCTCTAAGCAAGCATAAAGAAATCTCATTGGAAAGGATAGTCAAGATCAAAACGTGAGTTTTGCATAATTATGGGTATTACCAAAAGGTAGCAATACACGGGGGCAAGAAACACCTTTCACGAATCCTAAACCCTTTTCATAAATCCTAGGGCAAGGATAACCCAAAACAAGCACCAAAAATCCTGCCTTATTATAAGGCCTCAAACTATATAAAAAAAAAAATCCCACTTTGATCTCAAATTAATCACATTGTAACGTTTACATGATATGTTTTTGAAGCATCGCAAGAGATTGTCCGATCCTTGATTCTAAAATCTCTAAGCTAAAATCTTGCTAACTTCTTTTAGAAAATTTAAATCCACAAAACATGAAAATGTTAGATATTTCAAAAATGCATGCAAAATACAAAAATTACCAAAATCCATTTAAAATTCACAAAGCGAGAGGCAAGCATACTATGATAGAGAAAAAAGCTAATTAAGAATAAATCATAACCAGGAATGATTACCACCTTTGACGATCTAGGACGGTTAATCCACCACATCTATTTGTGGGAAACGAGATAAAACCCAAGTTTACAAATGTAATATCCTTGACTAAAAGCCTCCTAAATAATTATATATGTATGTGTGGAAGGAGGAAATAATTTAGAATTTATTTAGTTAGCATGGATGATTAATTATTGAGATAATGAATTTTTGGTATTTAATTAAATTATTTTTAGGGAAGAAATTGTAAAGGTTAAAGGTTTAGCTATTTAATTTGAATAGTTATGAAAGTTAAGAGATCAAAATTAATTTGGAAATCACCTTAAGTGAGGATTGGATTATTGTAATTAAAAGTGAGGAAACCGAATTGTAGGAGTGTGATTGAATTGAATTATATAAGTCAAAGACCAAAGTGAAAATTTTTGGCAACATAGAGGATCATTTAACAAGCCCATTCAGCTATAATGTTTCTCTAGAAATTCAATACGAAATTGAATTTTGGGCTATCAAATAGCAAGAGAAGAGAGGGGTGAACAATTGAAACCTAGGAGAAACTAAGGCAAGAATTAGAAGGAATTATGTTAACCTTACCTAAATTCTACCTAAGATCAACACCCAACCACCTATAAAACCCTTTTAGAAGGCTTAAGGAAGCAAGCATAAGGAAAGGCAGGAAAAGGAGTATTGGCTAAAACTAAGAGGAAGGAAAAGGAAAAGAAGTTTTATAAGGTTTAAGCAAAGTTAAACAACAAGCTATAATTGGATAAGTGTAACTTTAACTTACCACAAGACTTAGGATGATTATGAATTGAATTGGTGCAATAGTGTGCTTAGAACCTTAGAATTTCAAATTATGAAATTCATGAATTATTGACTATTGTAATATTATAACAAGTTTTTAATTAATGATTAACTATTGTATTGATGATGGGTAAGTGATTAATTATTGTGAATAAGGAATTTTAGGGTTTATGTTTAAATCATGTGATAGTTATGATTTGAATAAATGAATGGGCTTTGGTGTAATTAGTGAGTTGATAATTATGGTTGGGTGATTGAATGGGAGAAGGAGAAGCTTATAAAAGGTATGAACCATTTGGCCATGACTCGAAAGAATTGAGAAAAATTGTTTTGTGGGAAAATGATGCATCCTAGGTGCTTGATAAAATTAAAATTAAAAAAGAAATTGATAGAATGGAAAGGTTAGTTAGTTTGATTGAATGGAAATGCTAGTTAGGTTTGATAGATTCAATCAACATGGAAACTATAGATA